GTGAACTGGTTTTTGAGAATCATGTTGCTGCCCTGTTGGTGATTTCTTGTCAGTATTTAAATCTGTGTAATTAATTTGGTAAAAGAAAATGTAACAATGTCAATGTTGATTATGGACAATGTGGTGGTCAGGTGGTTAATAACCTGTAACAGGCCTCAAGAGATTCATGTTTCACCCCTAGTCAAATCACTTTGTTCTAGAGCAGAAAATATAACTCTCCTTTTAAATATTAATAATCATGGAAATAAAAGTAAGAACATTTTGACTTACATTTCCCAATTATCCAGTATGTAAAATTTTCAGTTGTACAATACAATGTTAAAAATGAAACTTTATCTGCTGGATGTTAAAGCTGAAAATTTAAAAAAAAAAATTGACTAAGAAATATAGAAACATAAAAGATACACACAAAGAATAAATAAAGGTTTTGTAAATAAAGAAGTCTTCCATCATGCTTTTAATTTTCATTTCACACTCCCTCCCTCCAATTTAATACCTGGAGCTGGCTAAGGAGTAAACTGTTGCAGAAATTTCAACAAATACTACACTGCATGTTTGTGCCATTGAAAGGAGGCTTCAAAGTATTGATAATAGGGTAAACTGAAGCAGTGAAACCTCTAGGCTCACATGGCTTTTAGGCTATGTAGTCATTAATTACCTGTTTTATAATAGGGTAATGTTTCTATATGTTAGCACAAGCTTCAAAAGGTTTGGTAAAGTCTGTGGGTTCAATTTAAGAGGCTTAAAACATATTAACATTTTGTCCAAAAAACACTACATCAACCACATTTATCGGCTAATATGTACCTATGTATGTGTTTCACCAATGGCAGGGGTCGTGCACCAGAGGATATTGGAGGTCTGGGTGAAGACAAGCCTGGCGAAATAAACAGGGATGACGACGAGTTTGACTTGTATCGCAAGAGGATGATGTTAGCTTACAGATTTAGACCCAATCCCCTTGTAAGAATTCTTCTATTATTTAAAAGTTTTAATCATTTGTTGTGTGCTTGGTATTTGATTTATTAAGGTTAACTTAAACTTAAACAAGAGAATCATTATTTTTTAATAATTGAACATTTCAAAATTTCTCTGTTCTTTGAATATGTTTCATTCAGCCCTTTCTTGTCAAAATAATTTCCTTTTAAGACATAAGAATAGCCATGACATGTATTTCATTGCTCCCTGAACAGATGTCAAATAATTCATTTTGTTTTTTTTTTCTTTTTCAGAATAACCCTAGAAGACCCTACTATTAGATTATGGAAAACCTTTAGTATTTCACTGGAAAAATATGATTGTACGTCTTAGATAAATCATTTTGAATATGTCTGTTGCAGCAGCTGGTCATGTGACCAATAATTTTTAAAAATTCTGTTGTAATTATGATATTTCAAGAAACTTTAAGAGCATGTTTCAAACAGGCAGAATGCAGATTTTTGGGAAAATTCCACTGAAGATGGTTAGTTTAAAAGACAATCTGAGGTCTTCAGGTTTCAATACTTTCATCTTGAAGCGAGAAGTCTTTGCCCAGGGAAGTTTTGTATTGAAAGGTACAGGAAAACAGGCCTGATTCATGTATTTATAAGAGGTAAAAAGAAGCAGTAAATAAGGAAGAACAAACTTGTAAGCCATATGGGGAAAAAGTGTGTCTAAATAGTAAATGATACCTTGCCTAAACAAATCTTCCTTATTTGTGATTGCATACCAGTAACCATGACGAGGATATTGGTCTGAAAAACTACACAGTAGCACACATATAGCCATTACTTTAATTTCTGGGAAAATTATGTGTTGAAACTTGCCAGATCATCATGTTTAGGAAAAGAAGATCATGTAATGATTATATTGCAAAAAAACCTCTTGTACTCAGCAAGTAAACAATAAACAGTCCTTTTTTTTGCTTAGTTTATGGGAAGCCATTTCTTCCTTGCACCCTCTTTTTTTTTCTTTCTTTACTTTCAAATTAAGGATCTGAAAGGGAGAGGTCAAAGTGTTTAGAAACTTCACTGAAGTTTTGCTAAGGAAACAACTTGTAACTGGTGAATCCTTAGACAAAAAAGTCTAAATTTGTCGATTTTGTCATTTGCTTCTCTACGCACTCTGCCTCATTCTTAACCCTTTGACCTGTAAGAGTGATTAGCATCTAATTTCTCTTATCAATACCACCTCTGAATCACACATTAAGGTCAGGAGAATGCAGGAAAATTATCACCAACTAAAGAAGCTCTTGATTGCAAATGAAATTCTCTTTAGGTAATGTATGGGAGTAGGAAACAATACAGAGAATATGCATACTGATGTTAGGGTGTAACAGGGTTATTCTCTGCGGTCAGTGATAGAGTATTATCTCCTTGGTGTTAATTTACTTAAGCAAATCCTCTTTAAAGGTTTTCTTTTTATGTAAAGACAATCTTTGATGCCTAAAGGCAAGGCTGAAGAAAATTATTAATAACGATTTTTTTTTTGCCTGCTAAGTACAATAGTTGTATTATCATCCAATAACTGGATTTGCTTTTTCATAGCACTGTTGGTATTTTAATTTGGAACCTAACTATTCTCTGAAAGCTTAGGGAAGCAATCTATCATTCTTCTCAGAATGGTTTGGATACAAAAAAGCATGAGCAAAATATTATTTCAAACTAAAACTCGAGTTGGCAGTGCTGCGCAGGTGTGAATTTCCTTTTACGGCTGTTATTTGCATACATAAGTGGGCTCTTGGCGGCGGAACCAAAAGAGTGAAGAAGGAAAGACATGGAATGGTAGATTAAATGATCTGTCAAAATACTCAAAAACTGACCTTGTTATCAGCGCTGCAGAACGCGTGCTTCCCCGCCCGCGGAAGAATTTTAGACGAGTCGGTTTGAGGTTTGTCGGGGGTCTGGCACTAATATTGCCGACCTCTCACCTGCTCGCTTTACTCCAGACTATGACTCCCTCGCGGGATAGGAGAGCCCGCTTGCAGACTAATAGAGCATTAGTGGTTTAAAAAATCCTAACTGATGGTAGGCAACCCAGCTTTTACTACGGTGAATTTGAAACTATCTCTTGATAGATCTTATTGGGTGACAGAATGCGGGAACATCAGTTTTCAAATCCAGTTCTCTCAGCCACTTGAACACCCTGTATCCTGTGATGTCCAACAATGTTAAAACGTGTTAAGGATAAGTGTCTTTCCTAAAGAAGTGTCTGCCTTGAGGGGAGTGAAATTGATAGACTTACTGGGAAATTTAACTGGCAGGGTCACGTGTTACAGATAGTCGCCCTTTTAAGTAGGAGGTGTCAGCCACAAATTGACAGGCCTTGCGGAGAGAAGTACGGGGTGGATTTTTGTGGGGCATTTTGCAGTAACCCAAAGAGCAAAAAAAATTGTTTGCACTTTTGGAAGATCTTCTCACCTTTGAAAACAGACAAAGTGGACTTTCCAAGCCATAACTGTGTGGGAATAGCTAATTTAAAACCAGGATTCATTGTACATACACATATATTGTCATTTTTATTCATATTAATCTACTGCAATATCTTTCACCGAAAATAATGTTTAGACTCCTTTAACTATCAATATTAATTACCTACAAATTCACAATTATTATTCATACTCTAAACTTATATATTTTTACCTATAAAGTTTTTATTTTTTTTATTTTTTATCTGATTCAGTTGACATTGTCGCTTGTGTTTGGGCTTTTGCCTTCAGCTCAAGTCTTCTCCTTTTTGCCTGTTAATTGAGTTAGTTACATGCTGGAATTTATTTTGACTTATAAGTACTTCTTATAATGTACCTTTAATTATAGTTAATTTATAGTCTACCGTTTTATACATGAGCCTCTGGCTCGGGCAATTGGGAAACCATGCCTCACGTTAGACAATAAACTTTGATTGATTGATTGATTGATTGAGGATCAGAGGAGTGACATTGCTACTGGCTGGAAAACAGCAGTGAGATTTTGTCAACATTTCATCCATTCTGTTTATTTCGTAGGACGTTCTTCTGTTCACAGAATTTTAAAACTGTTGTTTTATTCATTCCGTTAAACTTCATTAGCCGTACAGATAAAGAATCCAGTGGCGCGAACCAAAGGTAGAATAAAGAATATTGCTGTACTTCGCTTCCGCTGCTGTCATTCATAGTTTCGTCAGTGATAGTGAGAGGATAAGGATAATATTGTCTAACAGGGTAAAAGAAGCGATGGCTAAAATTAACGACAGCACGTACCCACCCCGAGAGTACATCGTGATCACCCAACTTCACGGGGCCGCGAAAAACATGCGCGCCGGTCCTCTTCCAGGACAGGTTATTCCTCCTTTTGGCCAAGTGCTACCGAGCTGCGCCAGTGGTGCACCCATACTAACGCAACCATCTATTGCATTGGCTTGTGGAGGAGTTTATTTGTCACAAAAGCAGTTCTCTCTAACTTATGGTGTAGACAAAAATTTATAATTCACAATTTCATTAAAACGAAGGAAGAATGTAATACCTTATTTTCATCTTTTTTTTGACCAACTGGAGAGGCCTAATGATGTTGCATTTATGTTCGTATATATATCACAATCATGTACTCAAGTGCCTTCATTCAGGTGGAAAGTGGCCGAATAAAACAGATTCTTTAGTTGTAACGTGTTTTTCGACACTGATGTCTATTGAAAAACAGCACCTTGTTAATTCAAAATGCCCATGAAAGAGAAAAACATCAATATATAGTGGAGTTTTGACTGCCAGAAGCATTTTACCAAGGTTATATGCTTCTATAAGGACTAAAAAATGCTGTTCAAGCAAAACGATTTTAGTGCAAGTAACAATACTATTTGCGGCTCTCTATTGTTGGTACTTCTTTGCTTAAATTGAAAATCTGTCGATAGCGGCGTATCCTACTTCGTTTTATAATTGAACGGATCAGAACGAAGAACTCGGTTCGACTTTTTTGAACCCGCCCTCTGAGGTTGGAAAACTCATTTGAATTACAAATAATTTTCAAAATTAATATTCATATTTGCGCTCAGTCTTGCACGTGGAAAAAGCTTACATACTACAAGAAATGTAAGCGTCTTTTTTTGCTTCTATGGAGCCAAGAAATACGCCATATCGACCCTGTTACCTTGGTATTGTACGTTCTGTCAAGGTCGGCGATTGTTTCTGTATAATGATCAAGTGGTTTAGACACAATGTCGAGGATTCATGCTTTTCACTTTGACACGACTTTTCTCAAGGTAAATAACCTCTGAAAAGATATATTCGAATAGTAATACAGTGTTCAGTGTTCTCTTTACGGCCTTTGTAAATCAATTTGTTGAGTCAAATATAAGAAGGAAGGGCATGATGTACATAGCACAGTAAATGGCAAATTCTCAGCGGCAGCCGCCATGACAGTTCTTGTTTGAACATGGCTTTTGTGACGACGCGAGAAATTTGTACTTTGAATTATCATGAGTGTGTATCGCTTATTTTTCTTTTTCATTCCTGTACACATTTTGCAAGTAGCTTTTATGATTAAAGAGTGTTGACCTTAATCTTGTCAAATACCCATTTCGTTGCAAGGTAAAAGGCCACAAGTCAAAGTTAGCTAAGTCATTGCAAAACAATTACAAATTTTGTTTTTCAATGCTTAGTAAGTTATTACATTGAAATTTCCTAACGCCTTTTGCCGATATGACTAAAAGACATTGAATTTTTCAGCGGAAAATATGTGGTTCTAAATAAGTTTTTCTATTCCGGCAGACGTTTGCCTTCGTTATTTAGTATGAAGAGCACTCGAGGATATGTACTTATTTACAATATAATTATCTCTATTTTTCTCCATAGAACAGTATCAAGAAGAAAATGAGAAAACCTCAAAATCAAAGAAAGTCCTGGAAGGAAATAAATACCTGACAACTCTCAACAAGGTTAGATCATTGGATTTTTAGTTAGTAGTTATCCAGGCCTATTCGACTGTGTTGAACGACTTAACTTGGATTTAAAGAATGTTTCCAACTCGAAACCAATTCAGTCAATAATAAAGAGAAACGGCAAACTAAGAAAATGAATCAATTTCTTTATTGTCTGATTTCCTGAATGTCTTCCTGATTGAGGTGGCTTTCAATTGTTTTCAGCAGTGTTCTTTTGATGTATGAATATACCATAAAGTAAATACTTTTTATCCGTTTCAAAGTGTCAAATTAATACCCTGTCATTATTGCGCATGTTATGACTTTCTTTCTGATTTACTAAGTTACCATAGCAACGGTTAAGCCTATCAAATCATCCCCTTGTTCTAAGATTACAGGGGGCCCAAGCTCTCCTAGAGAGGATAATATTATAGAGGTTTGTAGGGGAGTTTAGGCTCCGCTCTGTAACTCCTTAAATAACACAGCAAATAACTTAAAACTGTACAGGCAGTAATGGGATGAGAGCTTAGCTGAAACTCGACGAAATAGCCTGAAAGCGTTACAAGAAAACAAAAATAACACAAGCAACACTATCTGGTATAATTCTCTGACCTGGCGTATTTCGTATCTGCTTTGGGCCTCGTCCAAGACTTTGCATTTGTATTCCCGCTCTCATCAAAATGATCATGGGAATTTAGCCTGGCTTTACACAAAGATAATACTGACTTTCGTCAGAACCTCCAAATAAGCGTAATACTGCCTTAAGGCACAATTAGAAGATTTTAAATTTTTTTGGGATGCTTTACTATAGCAAGCCAATCTTTATTCGAGAGCAAACTGAAAAAGAAGGAAAAGGAGTTACCCAGCTTATTCATTAGCTGAGCTCTTACAGCAGATACTACTGGGCCATGGAATTTTTTTTTCCAAGGCATTCTGTTGCTGTGCTAACGTAAAAGCCAAGATGATGGTCGTAAGATATTTAAAGAGGCTTTCATTTGATGACAAATTTCCGTCAAGGCCTGAATGAGGACGGAATGTCTCTTCTCTTGAGGCAGAACAAATTTCAATGTGCTTAGGTTTCTATATTTCACGAACAAAGTCATAGAATTTCCGATTAGTTTTGAGTCTGATAGTTTCCTATGCTATTACCTCTTTCTATAATAAGGATCGTGAGCTCAACTGTTGAATGTCTCATCCTTAAAGCGAAAAAAAAAATTAGTATGTTCCTACAGTTATCATCTCTTAAATTTTTTATTCAGAATTTTTTTTGAGATCTCTGATTTGTTTAATGGTCTTTTAGTTTCATACAAAAATGAACCTTTTCTATTTTAAACTGTTATGAAGTTAGTTTAAAATCCCAAAAACATACTGTTATGCTAAATTTCTTCCTGAGTCTGTCATCAAATTATGGTTTGGTGTGATTCAGTAAAGATCTTCCAGTCTAAGTATGGAGACTGTCTATTAAGCTCTAGAGGCTAAAACTAGTCACAGTTGTATGCTCCAAGATTGATTTTTGTTTCTCAAATCGATTTTGAGTTCATCAAGAACTGATATAAATATTTTTTTGGCCTTGATCTCAATAACGATCTTACAGACTAATTGTTGAGAATTTATGAAGTCTAACTCTCCAGGGCTAAAACCAAATTGGAAAAGTAGGTTCCATGAATTGTTGTTTGTTTCTTAATTGAATTGCCACTAAGATTTATCATCAACTTATTGCGTTAAAAGCAAGTTTGAATCCCGTTTGCTTTGTTGGTTGTACTTATTCACCAAAGCACAGAAACTGTGAAGTATTTCCTGTCCACTTAATCCAAATCTCGGTGACTCAAGATCAAATTTCCTGGCTTAACAATGGTAGGACACCAAAGAAATCAATTTTTTTATTAATTCAAAGATGTTCACCGAGAACGAATTCATGAAAGAAAAATCTAGCTTAATTTCAAATATTGTCAAATGAGTAATTTGCAGCTTTTCATTAAATAAAAAAACGCCGCTCGGTCATTTTTATTTTTTATTGCTATTGTTATTTGCATATTCATCGACTCTCGTGAATTCTCACGCACTAGGATTTTAATTTTTTAAAACTATTCATGATTCTAAAGGATTGGGTGCAAACAGGGGCTTGCAACAATATTCTGATTCTGTCACTTTTTTGCTTTCTTGTCGAAAATTTGAAAAAGGGAACACTATGTTTCAGCTAAGTTAAGTATATTTAAGCGAGCAGAATCTAAATTTATGCGACTATTGTATGAGAATTCCTACGAGATCTTTGGGGAATTGCTGGCGAGCATAGATTAACTGTTTGTTGTTCCTTGACAAATGAGTAATTTGCCAGGAAACAAGGGAACATTATGTTTCATTTGGACAGGCACTCTGCGAATGATCAGATATATATTTAAGCAAGCAGAATCTAAATTTATGCGATTATTATGCGAGAAGTCCTTCGTGATCTCAGAGGAATCGCTGGCGGGCATAGATTAACTGTTTGTTGTTGCTTTCGGTTCAAAATGAAATCATTTAATACCTGAAAACAAGCTAGCGAAAAGCTAAAATCTAACTTGAAGGAATTTCGACGACAACAGTTGCAACAGAATTCCTCAAATTTGATAGAATATTCATCAGTGATCTATTTAAATAATTTATCGTTAAATCCAAGTTACGTTCAAATTCATTCGTATAGTCACATTGTATTTCAAGATTTTAATAATGAATTTTACTCGTAATGAATACGTGTTATTGCGACAAACCAACACTCTACTTGAGAAAACAAGGTTTAAATTCCAGAGCATTTGCTAATTTATGGGTTTTTTTCATTTTTTTTGCAGACTGACTGGTGAATATTCCTGATGCTTCAAGCACGATTCAAACAAGACTCTTATTCAAATGAACAAAACAGATGTAGCATATTCCTTACAACAAAATTTCGAGTCCAAGTTAAGATTCAAAATGCCCCCAAAAAACTGCTATTTCGAGATTTTTTGTAAGTTCAATTTATGATAAGGGCTGTTTGGGATGAAAAATTTTCCCGCCAAAAAACTTAGAAAAAATACGGCGCCCAAAATACGCATGCGCCAAATTTTTTTTTTGTTTTATTCAAGTAATATTTTTCAAATTTAGTCTAAAATGGTAATAAAAAATATTTGTTTCCTTGTCTTCCTGTATTAGCTATAATCAATAAAGTACACTGTTTGGTTTTTTTTCCATCTTTTATTGTCTCAATAAAATAAAAGTTTCGTAATCAAACAAAGTCTTGTCTTAAATTCTTATTAATCACAAGTTAATTAACTAATTTTCAATTAAATTATGATAAACGGTGTCAGGGAAAAACTTTCTTCTATATACTAAGACTTTTGGCGGAAAAATTTGGAACTTTTTGCACAGAGTTTCCCCTGGTAACATTTTGGGCAATAATTTTAATGAGGCTTCCTTTAAAAGTTTGCGCCAAAAATATTTACACAGCATTTCGTGCAAAATAATTGAAAAGTAGACGCTTATTTATCCTCTCTCAGAAGAAAAACATTTTGAGCAATTCCGTTTCGTTTCTTTAAAAAGAAATTCTGACTCGATAGGTCTATCTCTAACTTCTTCAATTCTTTGCACGAGATGATGTGTTGCAGTCTCTAACGAAAGAGCATCATGGCAGACTATACAGCGTCCAATCAGAAATATGAAATTCACCTTCAAAATTGTGATCTCTTTTTAAATTCTGTTTCTTTCATAATCCAATCAATTTTTGTGTAAGCCTAAAGCTTGCCGTGATGCCTTTTAAGGAACAAAAGATCTTTAAAGCCGCCAGTTTCGAATGTAACGCAAAACACAGAAAGCATTTTATTCAAGACACGGAGCTAGATTTCCACGTTGAAAAATTCTTATTTTTGACTAAATTTGATGAAAAACAAACTGAATTATTTAAGCATACTATTTTAATTTGACTTTAGTCACAAGAGCTAAGACATGTTACAACGAAGGTCTAAATTTCTTAAGCTAACTCTTCCCCTTTTGAGAAAAAAAAATAGCAAGCACTCTTCATAATTACGGTCCAAGTCTATTTTAGATTCAAGAAGTTGGAACGAACCCTTTCAATTTGATTCAAACCTTCAAAAGCTGAGACTTGAAACAATTAGGTTCCAAGTTTCTTAAAAAAGATTCGAGAGCCAAATTAAGAAATGAAATAATACAAACTGTTGGAGCAACTATTTGAATTCGGTTTTACCCTCCAAGGAGCAAGATGTTTCACAATTAGGCTCCAAGTTAGAAACGATTAATTCTTGCAGCGGATTGTTTCAATAGATTTAGTGGTCAAACGCGTTCAATTTCTGCTATATTAAAAACTGAATTTGAAGATCAAAATTGCAAGCTTTTGCTCATAGTTTCTTTCTGTATTCCTGTGTTACACCGAGTGGCTGCGCAGAAGATCTTCATACCCGCTAACAATAAGGAGTCAATAACCTAACTACGATATATTTTAAAACCAAATGCCTGATCCAAAGAGTCACAACAATTGATTTCATATTAAAGGAACAATTTTATATAAACCAGCAAAATGACAACCATCGTGGTATAGGAATCAAAAGCACACGCTTGTCAAAGCCAGGACACAATAAACTTTTTTCATAATATTTAATTTGCACATTGGTTCGTGCTTTTGTTTCGTTAAATCAACGCGCTTTCTGAAAATTTTTTTCAATTCCAAAACAAGAAAAACTATTTTTTTCATGTCTTTTAAAAAATGTCCACGAAATTCGTCAACGGAAAGAATTCGACAATAAAACATGAAAACTGTTTTGAATTGATAAATTATCAAAATTTCTAATTTGGTTTGAATCCCACGTTTGTTTGGAAAAATAAATGTGTTCTAACAAGATTTAAAATTGTGACGAGCAAGTTACACAATTGATCTTTTTATAATTTCATAACTTCGCCAATAGTCCCATCTATCGTCTACTGGTCAAAATATTGGCTCATATTTTATGTTAACTTTCGTTCATTCTGTAACTATTTTTTAACATTAGCGAAACAATCCACTATCTTAATTTCTATCAAATAAACTCTTCTCGAATTATGAAAAAAATGTATTTTTTTCGTCGTAAAAAGGAGTCAGTTTAAACTGGTTCATCTAGCGGTAACTTGGTTTCTCAAACAAGCTCGTGACCAGGCATAAGAGTTTTAGAATATATAGTACTTCCAAAGAGAAGTCGAACTCAGTTGACGGCACAAGGCAACGATTAAAATCTAAGATGGCACTCCACTAAATTCTTGCTTCGTGTATGAAAAAAAAGTACTTCCTCTTTTGAATGCAGTTTATCCATGCCGATAATTAATTTTCCATTGAATCAGCGTGTTTTTTGTCTTGGTGTCATTCAGTTGTCAATCGTGAAGTGCGATCGTCCGGGTAAAAGTAGTCCTAAAAAGGTTTGTTGTCGAAACTATGGACTGGCCTGAGAAGATGTCATTAAAGTTCAGTCAGAGCAGTTGTTTATCATTCGAACGTTATAACTTTGGTTTGTGAAACTGATTGATCATGGCGTTTGTCCATTGACGTTGATAAGCCAGTTTTGATCAGTCGCTTAGGTTAAATTTGTTTTCTGTTTGGTTCGTTTTGTGATTGTGTTTTTTGTTTGTTTGTTTGAGTCGTTTGTAATGTGCCGATATATCTTTGGTGTCATCTGTTGTGAGGAGCCTCCTCTTGTCAGTAAACTAGTTTTTTTACAGTCAGTCTTTGAAGTCAGCGTAAGTCGATGGTGTTTAGCAATGTGATTTTCGACGTAAAGAAAATGCGCAAAATAAATCGGACTCTTCAAAAGATTTTAATTTTGAATTCCTTTTGGTCTTTATCTGGCCAAAGTATTTTGTTGGAGTGCCACCTACACCTTTTTGCGACATCAACTAGGTTATAACTGTGATATTAACTGTTAAACAAACCCCAAAAAACTGAGCGATCAGAGCTTCGAAATTGAGAATGTTAGCATCAGCATTCTTTAGCCACAAATGCATCAGTTTCCTACTCTTTCTGTCTTTAATTCGATGCAACGAGATTATCTAAGAAAAATTACACTGAATTATTTTTGGTAGTTCAAGTAAATTAAATGATCGCCCAGGGTCTGCATAACAATCCGTAACACAACAAACAATACCAAAAATGGTGGTTAATTAAAAGGTATTCACTTACCATTTAATCAGTTTTATCCATGCCAACACAGTTGGTGAAAGAATAAAGACTTCGTACAATGATTAGACGTTTGAAAGGCCACCATTTTTGCTAGCATTACTAAATAATTTTAGAGTTCTTATCTTTGTCGTATCCAATAAAAATTCAGTGATTCCAGCGCCTTCTCTTGAACAGAATCTTTGTTCTTTAGGCATTCTTCTGACAACATTGCTCCTCCTGAAAGTAGAAAATATGAATTTAATTAAGGAATGCTAACTTTCCGAGTGGACAAGAACTAAAAATTAAAATTACTTTCAGTTTTTTCGCTCTTTGGCACAATTGTAGATAAAAGGGAAGTATCAAATAAAAACGTTATTTACAATGCAGCAAAGGCCACTGAGAAGAGTCCTCACTCCTCCACAGGGCTGCATTCAAATGAAGTCCCTAATAGCTTTAGCAAGAAAAAAATTCCTATTTTAGTGTTTCACTTGAAATGTCATGCAATCATTGGCGCTGCTTTTCTTGTAGCCAACTCCCTGATTCAGTCGAATTTTGAGTGGAAGAACTGCTTAGACCGAGTAACCGATTCGAACTACGTCGTTGAATTGCGACAGCACGACTCGTTTATCTGTAAACGAGCTCAAAGCGATATTTCTCAAAGGCAATGCTCACCTTTTGTTGTACTGACATAATAGTGTTTTCGTTGCTTTTTTTACAGGTCCAGTGTCTTCTCCCTTCCAGAATACAAC